ACATTATGTATATATTGACAACATTGTATAAAAAGTTCGTTTCACCCCGCGTATTCCATCACAAAGCGTGTATAATCAGTTTGATATTAAAAACAAATTATCGTTGTATTGATCCATTAAGAAAAGTGCTATTAAAACTTGCAAAAGTCTCGCGTAGTTATTATTATAATTATTAAACCTAATAAGTTTATTACGTATAATAACAATTATAATAGTAATTGCAAAAAGTTATAATTAGCCGTTATGTTATCTTATCTTAAAAAAACAAAAATAATAATAATAATAATAATAATAATAAAAAAATCCAATGTATTAAATAATATTATTTATCAAGACGTTTAAATTAGAGTTTAAATTTATTTTTAATTTTGTTTTACCCGTTTAAAATAGGTGAAATTATAGATTATTTTTTCAATTAATTATACAGTATTGTCGAATCTACGTGAATTTATTAATATATAATTGTTTTTTTTTCTCTTTCTTAATTTTACAAAAACTAAATTGTCTTGTTAATTGTTTTCGTATATTTCCAATACGTACGCTATAAATATTATAATTCATCATTTGCTAATCAAAATATTTTGTTTAAATCTCAAGTTAACCCTAGTTTTTTCGCGTTTCAGGAGTATAATTAAAAACTACAGATATTTAATGCCTTCAATTGATTAAATACCTTCCGAAAAATAAAATAAATATAATTTAAATTCACTCTCGAAATATTCCAATTCCAATAAAAATGAATCGACAATACTATATGTTTAAGGTTTTAGGAATACCATTTCGTGGCATTTGTAGCGCTCTAAAATCGAGTTGCAGATCACTATGTAACTGGATCTCCTACCATTTGTATTTTTTTTCTTTATTTATTTATTTTGATTTTAACTTCTCGGTGTAGCGGTAAACGTTTTAGGTTTACTTCCATGAGTATTTTTTTTTTCTTGATTTATTTATGTTTTTGTCTGTATAATTTCTTGATCGAAAGACTTCCTCTGATCGCCAACATCATCAACGATGGTATCCGGTAGCGAACGGTATTTAGTCGGGTGTTTAAATAGTTTTCTCAACAATTGCCAAACCGGAGGGAAAACTGAGTTGATTTTTTTTTTTCTGAAAATAATCGTAGTGACGTTTTCGCTGGATTTTTCCAGCTGGAGCTTGAGTCAAAAAGGGCCAACGTCACTTTTTGGTGAAAGGGCAATCATATAAAATTGTTTTTGCTTTTGATGGTAAAATGGCGTGTCTCAATAATCATTAGCGTGCAGAGATTCGTGAAGACCAACGTTGTTAGACAAATTACTATTGCGATATCAAAAAGGCCCGAAAATGCGTTTTATTCTTGATTTCCCGAGAATTGATCGTAAAAGCTGTTGGCCATTTTAGACCCAAGCCGCGGTTTGATTTCAGCCCTTTCTTCGCGTGGTTAAAACGTCGAAAACATTTAATCCTCACGGCGCGCGCGTCTTATTCTCGCTGTTTGCAAAACGAACGCGTCGCGGGCCGCGGAGAGAAACGGGACGCCCGCGTCCGTCGCGCGTTTCCGGCGGACTTTTCGATAACGCCGCACGACGTCGCCGTGTATCAATAGCGTCGCGTATATCCGTCCGCGGACACGTCTCGTTTCGCGGCGGCGAACAAACGGCGGAACGCCACGCGGGCGGCGGCGATGTTTTTCGTAATAAAAGAAAAAAAAAAAAAAAGGAAAGAAAAATGTAAAAATATTCTACCCGCGGCCAATAATCCGCCGCCGCCGCTCAACACAATATAAGCCCGCGGAACCGCAACGACAATAATAATAATAATAATAATAATGATAACAATAAATACGGCGTGTACCTATGTACCGTTCCGCTTTTGTTCGCGGGCCATAAATATCGTCTCCCGGTGACACCGCCGCGGCCGGATTTGCAGCGGCGACAAATGTTTATCGGAATAAACATATTATATTATGTACGCTGCACTAATCAAATAAACCGGCTAATGGCCCGAATAATGGCTAATACCTACCGCGGATAGCTATTACTTTTATTTTCGGATTTTTTTTTTTTTTTTATACGCCGGGTAAATAATATAATAATAATATTGGCCGACGGGTATTTGTACGCGCGGCGTAATACCCGCCGCCGCCGCCGTGGCCCGCGGCCATGTTGCCGGATCCGTCGGGAAATACGACGGGTAACGCCCATTTTTGCGCGTACCGCGCAACCGGTTCGCCGTTCTTAAAAAGAGGGCTTCCGATCGAGTGGGTTGTATTGTAGTACTTTTTCTTTTTCTTTTTTTTTTTTACTGTTTTTATCCCCCGTATCCGTCCGACGATGCGTGTATATCGTTCGCCGGGGCTCGTAAGTGTCGGCGTCAGAAAAAAAAAAAAAAGGAGTTAATTTTTATCGCCGAAAAATCACCGGAATAAGCGCTGTACACGGCGCTAAAAAAATTTTCTCTTTTGGCGAAAAACGTCGGATCATTAAAAGGCGTCCCGTAAAACATATTGCTGATCTTGAGGTTTATTTATTTATATACCGACGCAATAAGTGATTGTGAGTAGGTATATAATACGAATTATGATTTTGCCGTGTTTGTGTGAATGTTTAACGTCGAAATGTTCGAATGTGTATTTGGTTGTAACACGTCACTCCGTTAGTTTTCACTTCGCGAAATAATTCGTTGCTAGGGAAACTATCGTTGCGGCTTAGTTTACTGTACACATCCCTTCACAACGGGAATTTATTATATTGTTTTTCTCAGTTGTTTGATCAAAAAAAAACGTTGCATTTTTTTCATTACGCAATTTATTTTTATTTTTACCCCCAGACATTATAAGACATATTAATGTCGAAAATTGGAAAATATACAAAATAAAATGTTTTCACGATTTCAAAATAATCAAATTATTTGAAGCGTACGAAATTGTCCGATAAAATCGGCGATAACGACTGTCTTTTTCGGACGCGTTTTTTAATCGTACTGTTTTGAAAATCAACGCAAAATATCAATAAGTACCAAATTCGCAATAAAATAGCGACCAAATTTTTATTCAAATAAATATGCCATATGTATGATATTAGTGTAGTATGGAACCAATAATTTGTTTCTTACTCAGAATATGGTAGGTGTCACCAAAAACAATATGCAAACGCTTATACTCCCGATCATCACCGTTGTGCTTTTCGACATACTTGTAGTAATAAGCAGTCGACGTATTATACTTTAAAACGTTGAAGTATCTGAACGTCATAAACTTCACAACACATCCAAAAACATTGGGAAAGTGTAGCGAGGGTGAAATAAACTGGTTTCATTCTGTACACAAATCGGGGCACGAACTGTTAGTTTTAACGCCAAGTTAAAAAAAAAAAAAACAAAAAAAATATTTTTTACTCAAAACATTTGTGTAGATTAATTCAATTATCCGATAAGATTAAATGATGTGTATAACTTCTGTGATTTTCAATATTTTATTTATTTTTATTTTTTTGTTTGCCTATTGATTCGATGTGACAGTTCATATATTATTATTAAAATTCATTTGAAAGTTTACTTACTTCGTTTAGATTATGACATGAGAATATTTGCCTACCTACCTGTTAGATATATACCAATCACCGACGACGGCCAATACACGTGCGATTCTATCCGTGCCAGATTGAGAACTAGAACAGATCTAAATTATGATTTAAAGTAGCCCGACTCGAGTAATTTTACCCTCAAAACGTTTGAACGACACGTTCGCTTTTGCTAAATTTACAAACGTCCAAATTACAAAAAAAAATTCAGAAAATAACAAAAAGAAGAGCACTATAAAATTGTGTGTACGGTGTATTTATAAACGCGATCATAATGATCATAATGACGGTTGACAGCGTAAATTCAATTGTATCCCGTTTCTACTGTATCATTTGTTATACTATTTCGTTATTATTTTAGCGAACAATTTCCCGTGTTTCGTGACATACATTAATGGGTATTACATTTTTGTACAAGTGTGTTTATGTTTATCGGCTCGAAAATATGAAATTCATCGCGGTTCGCCGAGCTTATATCGTTCGGCAACTCACCGCGTCGATCCGGCCCTAATTCCATAATATGTCTGCCCGACATTGCAATGGCGTATTATAATATTTATTATAAATTATTCACCGGTGAAGGTTTGACCGCGGGGAGGGGAATGAATACGATCTTTTCAAAAGTGATTAGTGACCCAACCTCCCTCACCCCCCTTCGTCATCCAATAGGAGTAATACGAATACCGTTTATATTAAAGTTTGCAGCAATCACAGCAATGTGTTTTTGTTATTTCGAAATCCCGAAAATTTTCATCGAAACGTTACGGACTTTCATATTAATATTTACATTGTGCACACACTACCGTTGCGGCGGCGGCAGCGTTACTCTTTCAAAAAAATAGTCCCGCATCGGTCGGCAATATATTTATCCGCTTTGATCGAAGACTCGAAAAAGGCTGGTTGGTCTGTATAGGTACTTACACCTATATACCTATAATATACAGGTATACGAATGTATGTATATTTAGGCAACCTGCGTATAAAGTGGGCCGGCCACGTGCGCGATTAACCGGAAGTCGGTGCACGGGTAAATGCGGAATGAGGAACGGGATTTATACCTGTGGGTATAAGAGTACGCAATTTATTTCGAATAATTTTCCGCGACCTAATTGCCGAAAAGTTTTCGCGCGAACACGATCCGGATACCGCGCGCGCGGTGTAGACCTGTACCGCCTATCACGTACACCCTATATGCAATACGACGTATTATTTATTTACTATACTTCAAACGCGCGGTTGTTTAGGTTTTTTCGTAACGCGACCCGGCCCCCGGATAAGTCGCCGGGATAACATTGCGTTTTCGTATTTATACGCCTATGCTTAAAAAAAGAATAAAAAAAAGAAAAAAAAAAAAAGAAAAAAAACACAAATACTTATAGGAAGTGTATCGAATAACAATTTTAAGACGTGTTCCTTGAAAATCCGTAGAAATCGGCGGCAAATTAACGGCCCTGTTATCCAATCGCGATGGACGGAACTGTTATAGCGCATGCGCACTGCGGGTTTTTGATTGTCCCGGATTCGGGTTGATGTAGGCCTATAAGAGAGGTAAGGATGTAGTTAAAGGTACGTGCAGATAACCCCCGCAATTCGATTGTCTTGCTCAGTTGAAAACTACCCTAGTGAGGAAACCGATTTTTACCACGAAATAGGAAAACTTGTACTATGCGACTATGGTTTTAGTTTTTCGACACGAGTTACATTATCATTATAGTGTTCTAAAATCTGATCATTTTGAATTTTTCAAATTCCAATAACTCGTTTCGTTTTAAAATGATAACTAAAACAAACACTCGGTGCACAGTGCAAGTTCAAATTTATATCCGGCCATATATGAAATATAACCATTAAAATTTTTTTTTTTAAAACCTTCCATTTTACTATCGTGTTTAGTACTGGCTGCGTCGATTTTTCTATGTAATAGTCATAAAGGTTTTTTTTTTTTGTCGTTCGTGCACTAAATATATTACACAAGTGTGTAAACGCTGTAAACCACGGTATTGATTTTATACAAAAACATTACCAAAGATTTTATCCGGGCTTCTTTTTCGAGAAAATTAGCTACTCCGCACACACATCACGCAGAAAACGTCGCGAAAGTAAAACATTGGTGTTACGCACACTAACGTTTTCCGAAAAATATTTTCTTTTAGAATTTAAACGTGGGACCGGAGTCGCTTTTTGAAATTTAAAATATTAATATGTTGTGTTCGTAGTGCACGGCATAAGTGTAATATATTGAAATATTACGTGAATATACGATGGTTAAACGAATCTATATAATATAACAGTTAAAAAGGACGGACATACTTTCCACGTGAGTGCAACCGCTGCTGTGGGAAGTTGGAAAGATAGGATACAGACGGGAATTTAATGTATATCTGTAAGCAACAAAAAAACCATTGCTAACGAAAAAACGATTCCGAATCGAGTTCAGTTGATGATGTTGTTTTGTCAACAGTACAATTTATGATATTATGTCATATTATGGTAAAATGATTAAAATAATAAAAGCTTACTAATAACAAGAAATAAATAAAAACGGTTGCCAATGACAATCTTATTTTCAATCTTTTAATCTTTTTTAAACAAAAGTATCAGGTTTTCCTTATTATCTCGAATATTAAAAAAAATTTCAAAAAATGACTTCTTTATAGTACCATTCAGAGAACATTTCCTTTCAGGAAAGATGCTGTACTTGATAATCGGAGTATGTTTTCTGGTAGAAAAATTATTCACATAAAAAAAAAGTAAACAACATTTGTAAAACCAATACACGCTCCGCTCAGAATCTAAAAAATCGACCGGATCGTCTTGACTTATCGGAGAAATAGAATTATGATATATCTGATTTTGACAAGCCTAAATAATTTTTTTTTTCTCGGTGGGTCAACAGCGGCCGGCCTCTCTCCCTAACGGTTATTATTGTCTCTCCTGTCCGGTCCCGCCTACGCGTAGGTACATGATAATTAATTATCATCGATATCAAAACCGCGTGTTTCGGAATAATAAAAATACGCCTATATCTCGTAACATAATCGTTAGAACATAATATTATAATATTTTCGATGTAACTTTTAGCGTCGTGTTATGCGTGTAAAGCGTAGGTGTACCTATTGTATCTATATTGTATAGTCCTACACCCAGTACATTATAATACCTGCATAATTAATATTGTGTTGAATGAAAACTGATGATGATGGGCGCACGATAATAATTGACCATTAGAAATAATTTTTGAAAACCCATTAACTTAACCCGGTTTTTTTTTTGTTTTTTAAATATCAATACCTATTGTGGTAGAGGGTTTTATACGCGTTGTTAATATGTTAATAATAACCGAATTATATATTTTCAATAGTCCGCGGTAACGTGTATTACCGGGTCGTAAATCGTAATAAAAAAAAAAATAACGTTTTGCCGTGCCGCGCTAAAATCGCATTTTAATACAATGTACAAGTGTAATACAGCTATATGTATGATTCCCGAACCCCTGCAAACCTCTTAATACCTATCGAGAACGAGCACGGGAAAAATAAATTCCGGGAGACGAATAGTAAACCACAACGGACCGTTTTGAACTACATATGCGACCGGACGCGTTTTTCAAATTTCCGGTGGGGGGAGGTGTTGAACTCCTACCCTCCCGTCGTGTACGTGTATGTTTTACCCACGGCCGCCCGTAATATCGAAAACAAATAATAAAAACGTATTATTTTTATACTGCACGATGACGTTACACGAAAGCAAATATAGACTCATTTAATGGAAACGGATAAAAATACCTATACGTATAATGTATTATTATGTGTACCTGGTAGCGGTTTACTTGAAAAAATATCGTATACCGCGGCTAGCATATAAGGACGAGTTTGTTTTTATTAAATTTTGAGTGCGGCGGGATACATGCCACACACGTGATGTATTTTTTCCTTTCGCGATCACGATTTTGGGTCGAGGGATTTATCCGCGAAAGTTTATCCATAAAGTCCACAGAAAGCCCCCTACCTGTGTGTGTGTGTGTGTGTGTGTGTGTGTGTATAATATTATATAGATTGAAAACTGGACACAGATGGTACTGAAGTAGTTTTCGCCCGAGTACCGCAAAATAACGGCGCGACCCTTGTCCGTTCTGAATAAAATTGAACTTTGTTATTTTATATTGTTATTCGCGGATCATATTATTATTGTACCTATGTACGTAATATTAATCCCGGAACCCGAAAATTGATACCGCGTATTTACTTCAACGCCGAATTAGACTCGAGTGAAAACCGGTAAAAATAAAGATGGATAGCCACACTAAACCGACAAGATTTCCAGATTCAATTACCCGAAAGAATATAGTGACGAATGACAAAGAGAAGAACAGAAGAGGCTGTTCGGAACAGCGATTGGCCCCGATGGCCCCCGAAACTGAAGATAAATTGATTAGATTCGCAGGGTACATAAGTATAGCGATGTAATGGAATTTCCGGGAAATCGTGTGTTTTTGAAAAATTTGATGAAACAATTTTCATTTTCATTTTCAAAACATCCGATTTTACCGTCCCGATCTGTTTAATAATTATTTAAATCGCATCGCAATATATTATACCCGAACAAGAGTTCAATAATCTCTTAAAATCCTGAGTATAAACTATAAATCCATTAAAGCTAAAATTGAACAGACTTTATGATTTTAAGTGTTGAATTAAATCCAGTGTATTTACATTTTTCTGTACCTATAATAATATATTTGAATCGAATCCGGCGATAAGATTTGCAATCTTTGTAATTAAATTATATTAATCGGTGACTATTTCCTAATAGTTGTGAAAGTTTTCACTCAAAATTAAATACATTATTTCATTTTTGACATAGAAATATTCTATTCTTGTGTTAGCACTAAAAATATAAACAAAAAAACTACTGAAGCCTCAAAATTTATTGAACTGATTAGAAAAAAAATTTAAAACGAAAACAGCAGAAACAGCAGAACAGTCTTGTCTACAGTCTAATTTTGGTATATTGAATCCATTTTCTTGTAATAGACCTGTCATAACTGTGTGATATTTTTTACGAACATTATGTTTTTATATCCATCGTGTTCTATATTATGTTAGTCTTGAAATGTACGTTTGGGAAACTGATTTCAATTTTTCCTTCTCCTGTAAATTGACATTAATGAAATTTTGGGAGACTTAAGCTACAAACACTTCGTGGTGTTTTCTGCGGGATATTATCATATTGGTTTGATTATTTCGGACTCGGTTTAATATTTCCGAAAACGATATCGATTTGTGTACAATTTAACAATGGATAGAATTAGTGATACATTCGATTTTAATACATGATATTGAAATTCGCGTATATTATATGGATGTATGTATTTGAAATGACAGTTTCATGATTTCGTTACCTACCCCCAGCAAGTTAATGTTATTACATAAAACACGTACCTAATATATTAATAATAGGGCCCGGAACTTGTTGCGTTTTCATTTTTTTTTTTTTTTTTGCTCTAATACGTTCTAAATCGCTGCGGGTACGTATATAAATTTGTTTCACGGAACGTAGAAATTGATAGCACCATTTCTATTTCGTATTTTTAAGAAAATGTATACCAAGCGGACATTTTTCGGTCATTTAATGCATTTTTATATTTTTCGGAGAGAATATATTGCATTCGGGGTTAGACTATAGACTATCGGGACACTGGAAAATCTCCTGGTAGGCCACTAAACAAATGGATTAAGACAAATTCGATAACGAGTCTAATGCAACATAAGATATTGTTAAATGTTCTATTAAGCTGTAAATGATTACTTGAAGGGCTTACAATAAGCTGCTGTACGCAGTCGAGGAGCTTTCAAAAAAAACCATCAGATATCGCATTAGGTTAGTTTAGGGCCCTGCAATGTGCTGTCAAAAGCTGCAGTAGGACTTAGGCTATTAGCTGGCCGTAATGAGCCGTCAGTTAGGACACTTTCAAGGGAATGTATTTCCGATAGAAAGTATAACAAGATACATTGTTTTTATTAAGTAATCCAACCCTGATTGTATTAATTGTATTCGATATTTTTTTATTTCCCAAACAGTAGCGCACAGTGATATTTTGACAGCCCATGTAGTTAACAAAAGTATACTCACCCACCCCAAGTTGTAACAATCCACGCAGTCGCATTACTCGAGACCATAGATATACGCTACGGCAGTCTCAAATGTATGTTGATGTTCCCTAAGCTATAAATAATAAAAAAATTTATTAATTTACGTTCTTTGAACCGATCGTCGCCGAGTTGGTCTAATAGCCAATTTATTATAAATTACCTTGCCACCGAAAACCTCGGTGCAAACCATCGCGCGTATTTGTCTTTTGTTTTCGAATTCTGCGTATATAAATTAAAATTTTTGTATTTTTTTTCATAAAACCAAAGTAAAAACGCGGCGGTATGCGCAGAGTAATATACATTCACGGAATACCGTTGCACATTGTGTAGAACATTTTTTTATTATTTTTTTTTTTTTTTTTTTTTTTAAAAAAAT